AACTCCACAGACTCCTGATCGAAGCAACATTTCTCAAGCTTCACGTATAGGCTATGTTCCTACAACTTCGCTAGCACCTTGCACACATGCTTGTCATGTTCCTCCTGAGTTTTTGAGTAGATGAGGATTTTGTCGAGGCAGATGATCACCATCTGATCAAGAAACTCCCAAAATACGTCATTTGCCATGTGTTGGAAAACGGTTGGAGCATTTGTCAAGCCAAATGGCATGACAGTGTACTCGAAGTGGCCATAGTGGGTTCAGAATGCAGTCTTCCATTCATCGCCAAGCTGGATCCGAATCAGGTTGTATGCTCCACGGAGGTCGATCTTGGTGAAGAAAAAGGCACCCCTAAGGCATTCCAACAGATCTGAGATCAAGGGCAATGGATAATGGTTCCAAACAATCACCTTATTCAAACCTTGGTAGTCGATAACTAGCCGCAAACTCCCATCCTTCTTCTTGACAAAGAAGACAGGCACTCCAACCGGGGATTGCAAATGCTGAATGTACCCCGAAGCAAGGTTCTCGTCCACGTACTCATTGAGGGCCTTAAGCTCAGACATGGATAACCCGTAGATAAGCCCCCACGGAGGTGACGCTCCTTCTTGTAAATCAATGGGACAGTCATAAGGCTGATGAATAGGTAGTACACTAGCTTTTTTCTTGTCAAACACATCCCCAAAATCATGATACTTCTCAGGAAGACTGACAGGAGAAACATGCAAAGCAAAAAGGAAAATAAGTTTTTCATGAAGGAGTTTTTTCATAGTGATTGTGGAGATAGAAGGAGGCATACGACTGAATGGAATGATGAGATGAGGATATTGTCCAGTGTAAGATGGAAGAGAGGGAAAAGAAAAAGGTGAGAACTTCATAGAGTCAGGAACAGAACCCCGATTTGAGTTTAGGGGACTTTTCCTTATTCGGACTCAATGAATAATAGGGGAAGCCGTGGGAGATGGTGACGTGGGAGAGACGAGCTGTAATTCCTTCCAACAAATCTAAGGTTGGTGTAGTTGGAACCAAGGAAGGCCGAGCACCACAGAGGAGGACTTGCTATTGATGATGTTGAAGGCGATATCGGTGATGGTGGACCCGATGTGTACTTGAAGGGGTAACGTTTCCCTAAGTCCAAAAGATGGAGACACAAAATGCCTGCCGATGCCTTCAACCCTCAAATCTTGTATGGTAGGAGAAAGAGGAACGTGATGTCAGGTAGCAAAGTCCGTGTCCATGAAACAGGAAGTTGCACCCAAGTCCAGTAGCACCAGAGCATTGAGTCTTGATTGTCCGATGAAAGAAAGGAGACATGGGATGCGGAAGTTGTGGGAATTGGTGGTGGCTTTGATGAAAGGTGGTGAGGAGCTTGATAAAGAAGAAAAATGATTTTTATTCGGGGAGTCCAAACAGACAGCTTTTACTTTGTTTGGATTGGGTCATTTCCCGACTGCAACAGAGGTGGACCTTGAGGCAGAGTGAACTCGAGCAATCAGAGAGGCTTCTTGGGACACACAGCTGCTTTGTGATTAGGATCAGCATAGTAGAGGCAAAGATTATGAGATATTCTACATTGCTTCTTAGCAGGACTCAACTTTCCATCGGGACCGGAGTAGTAGGTTCAGGAGTATGCCCCGAAGACTCAAGCTGGGATTCCTAAGTTTGAGATGCGAAAACGGCAGCACGGCAACTTTCCTGACAATGTTTAAAGAGAATTGTCGCATTGAATAGCTTTGTTGATGGTGTCCGACAAGTCCGTGAGATCCTCCGTGGTGAGCAACAAATCCTTGACACTGTTGTTAAGGCCGAAACGAAATTGATCAATTAGGGCCCACTCATCCTATTGAGTGTCCAAGGCAAGGAGTTGGAACTCTGCAGTATAGATCGAGGCAAGACAAGACCCTTAAGAAAGACGTCTCATCTTTGTGGTGGCAGCCCGAACCCGATCCATCTCGCCAAAACATGCTTCGAGCTTCTCTTTGAACAATTGAAGATCCATTAGCTTTGAAACTATAACCCCTTTCATACTCTTTTCCAAGAAAGGAGAAAACCATAACAAAGCTTCAAGCAACATTCTGATCGCGCCAAATCTTGGGGCGATTTTGGAAGCAATCAAAATGAGCTAAAGCAAAAGCAAAAAACACAATCTGAATTAAATTGTCAATACTCTCAACAAGATCAAAATTGGAAAATGCAGAAGACAAAGAGAAAAGCTAGTGGAAACGAGAAAGAAGCTTTAAAGTGGTGTTATAATAATATTAGTGTAGTGGGACATCAGATTGATTTTAATTCAGACCATTTACTTTTATATGTAAACTAAGGTTATTAAGTTAATTTATAAGCATATTCCATTTCCATATTCCAATCTATATTTAGGGTTAGGGAAAACGAAACGCACACGTCTTGTTGATCGCCAGCCGTCGGATGCGGCATCGGACGGCCAGGCGGGCTCTTCGCTATTGGCCGTTGGATGGCCGCTAGAATCCGACGGTGTTTCTGAGGAAACGATCGGCCCCAAGCCGGTGTGCTGTGTGGGTGTCTTGTGTGATATTAATTTCTATCAATCTTGTTCTCAAATGTTTGCCTCCTTCCTTCCTCTTCTTTCCCCGTCCAACAATCGATCCATCTCTTTTAATCGCTAGAATTCGAATCGCTTCGATCGCCCTGAGAGCCGTCTTGTTTTTGCCTCGCCAAGAATCCACTCTGCTCCGCTTGCACGTCCTACCACCGAATCGTCCAGGTAAGAAAATTACTCCTCCCTCCATTTGAATGCCCAGAAAGGTGTCCTCCCCTGTTCTTGGTGTTCTTGGTGCCTTTTACGTGATCCTGGGATTTTCTTAGCAAAATCGCGCTCCTGGGTTTTCTCGCCGCTACTTAGCGCACATAGAACAGCCTGCATTGATCGCAATTTCACTCCCACCCACGATTTGAGTTCCGGAATTCCAAAATTCCCTTTTTGATCGCGCGATCGATCAAAACAATGAGATGATGAGTGCTGAAAGTGAAAGAGCTCTCATCTTGATTCCAATTGGAACAAGCCATGATCAATCTTGAGTTGATTTTGAGACATCTCTTACGTCGTTCATTGCAAAGAGCTTGGTGTACTGTTTGCCCAATGCGTTCTTAGGCGTCATGAGAACCTGCCCAGGAAAAAGTATGCTGTAAAGTATAAGTCATTTAACTAACCTGGACAAGTTGATCCTCGTTCAAAGCGGAAAGGCTCACAATCACTGGAAAGCGTCCAATAAACTCTGGTATCAATCCATATGAAATAAGGTCACTGCTCTCGACCTGCTTAAGAGGAAAAAGAGACATCTCTAAATTTTAAAGCCATAAAGTGGACCAAACCTTTTCAAGAAAAGATGAAGCAACCGTCGCACTGGTTGTACCACCGTTGTTTCTTATATTGGCTCGCACTGGTGCCCCAAAACCGATAGACGAATCTTGTCTCCTGGGATATTGCTTTAGATAAAAACGATAACTAAAGTCTTTGCAACCACTAACCTCTCTGCAATCGTTTTCTCCAGATCCCCGCAATATAAAAAGGATTTCTTTCGTATCTGTAAATAAATCAAAGCTGAAAGATAGAACCCCACAGCAAACCTGGGTGTGATCGCTACGAGGATGCTTCCTAGCTCCTTTCTCAGGGACGTTAACAATCTGTACACACTCACTGAACGAGTTGATTACCCAAGAAGTCTTTGCAATGAGAATAGTATTTCAGCAGTTCCTTCCAAAATTTTGAGCAGTGCTTGTTGAACACCTTCACCGCTCATCTTCCAATGTTGAGGCTTTCTGACTGCACTGGAGAAAAGTCAGGCCGAAAGAAAGAAAGAAAAATGGATTTTGATCGTACCTTTTTGGTAATTTTGTCGACTTCGTCAATGTAGGCTGAGCTGCATTTACGTTGAACTCGGCCGCCTAGTGAAAGACAAAGTGCTTACGACCAGGTTTGGTAATAGTACCCCAAACATACCACAAGAAGTTTATGAAGGATAGATTCCACGTCTTCTCCAACATATCCTGCCTAAGGAGCCAATACTTTATAACGAACCAAGCTCAAACAAAATTTCCTTACTTGCATCTTAGAAAATTTGCTGATTTAATCTTGCCTGTGTGAGCGTCGTAGCATCTGCAATTATGAAGGGAACATTCACAAACTTTCCAAGCACTTAGCTAACAATGTCTTCCCTGCAAAAAATCAAGATGAGCTTGCATGGAATCTTGTGTAAAGCATCGGTACCAGAGCCAGTAGGACCGAGGAACAGCACGTTGCTCTTCTCAAGCTCAACTTCATCGTCTCCAGACGCATTGGCATTCAACTCTACGCTCTCATCAAATTCCTCTGATCTGAAAAACAATGCAAGCACTTGTTGGTATAGGAATAGAAAAAATGTTGCGTACTCTCCCATAGAAGCGGCTTTGGCAGCTTCATTTCTTAAACTCTCAAAGTAAATCCGTTTGTAGTGATTATAGACTGCCACAGACAACACCTGGAAGAGAAGAACAACTAAACGTAAGATAAAAGCAAGAACACACACCTTTTTGGCTCGTTCCTGGCCGATGACGAACTTGTCAAGCTCCTCGCAGATCTCACGAGGAGAAGGCAAATTCCTCCCGAGATTGGAACCACTCGTGCCACCCAGCGAGTTGCTCGGTCCAGAGTTGTGCTTGGACGATTTCTTGTGTGAGCGCGTGACGTGGGTGTCTGGTGGAATGGGAGGTGACGGTGGCTCCACAGGAATCATGCCCCCGGAGCTTTCCCCGGCTGTCATTCCCACCACCACCGGAAGCCGACGAAGAAGATGACAACGACACCTTTTCCAGCAACGCATTGTTGACGGCCATGGAGGAAGGAGAAGACTGTTCTTGCTCCTTCTCCTTGCTGCTCCTGGGATCTTCGCGAATTCCAGTGATCCCTTTCTAGGGTTCCTTCCACCAATAAATGAGCGCCACGTCAGCCAAAAGTTTAAATCTTGGCGGGAGTTTTAGATCAATGTTTATGACAACGAGACGTAAGCAGCAGCGTTGTATGGTTCCATCTCAAGAACAGACATGGCACACACTCTTCCTTGTTCAACGTTTTTGTCACTGGAACAAAACGCGAGCACGCAATGCCAATCGACAAGATCAGGAACACTGGGCATTTCAGCAATCACGGCTTGGGCATTCGCCAAAACGACTGCCCGGCACAGGAGATCGATCACGCAGCTGTAGTGCTGCTTGGTTGCCTCCAATCCGAAGTCCCGTGTCATGGATCTGAAGCAAGAGATGCCCAGTGCGCAGTTCCCCACCCGGCCGCAGGCAACCAAGAAGCAAACAACGCTGATTGCGCTGGGAATCCACTGTTGCTGAAGCTCGTAGAAGAATCCGATCGCTTGGGCTGGCTTGCCTTGCCCCGCATATGCCACCAGCACTGAATTCCAGCTCACGAGATCGCGCTCCGGCATCGATTGGAAGACTTTTTCAGCTTCTTGCAGATTTCCATCACGGGCAAATGCAGAAAGAACGGTGTTCCAGGTTGTTACATCTCTCTGGTTAGCCCTGTGAAAAACACCAACTGCACTAGCAAGTTTACGATTGAGTGCTAAAGACGAGATAAACGCGTTTGAGCTATG